GCCGACTATGGCAGAGTCATCAGAGAACTTTTGCAGATGGCAGTGTGGGGAGTTGATGGAGAAGTCTGCAGTGTAGAGGGTGAAGAGGAATGGTGCCAGCACAGTTCCCTGTGGGACCCCCGTACTGCAGACCAGCATGTCAGAGACACAACCCTGAGTCCTCACATACTGTGGGCGTCCAGTGAGGTAATCCAGTATCCATTGGGACATGTGGTGATCCACTCCTGATAACTCCAGCTTGTCCCGCAGAAGTCCTGGCTGGATGGTGTTGAAAGCGCTGGAGAAATCAAAGAACATGATCCTCACGGTGCTTCCAGGTTTCTCCAGGTGGGTCAGAGCTTGGTGCCTGAGGTAGATGATGGCGTCATCCACCCCGATGCCAGGCCCCGATGCCATTAGGAAAAACGGAATTACATTAAGCCAAAGCGGAAGTGGCCGAAGCGGAAGTGGCCCAAATCGCATTAGAAAAAACAGAATTACATTTGAAAAAAATAGAATAACATTAGAAAAAAACGTAATTACATTTGAAAATAACAGAATAACATTTGAAAAAACGGAAATACATTAAGTCAAACAGGAATTTTTTTTTTTTACTGTATTAACAGCATAAAACCGAACAACAGAACAATATACAGTACACATACAACGGAGATATGTGTGTACTGTATTTTCTAAAAAAGTTGTCAGGTCCTCTAGATGTTCAAAAAACAACAACAATAAATAAATAAATAAAATCGTAGAAACGTTTCATCTTTCGTCCGAAAGGCTTCTTCAGTCTGACGAGCTGTATTCAGCTCAGTCTTATAAATAGCACCTTCTCATAGTGGATCAACCAGTTTGTTGTTGATATTCAAAACTAGCTGTTCACATGATCAAGGAGTACCATCAGCCTAACAAGGGCTCGTTAGCACCCTGATGGCTGCTTGCTATCCACAGGGGGGTGAGTGATACTAAAGCCCCCAGTATACTGCCGCGTACGTCTGTTCACGCATACGTACGCGTGTACTGTACGCAGGGGGTTCAGACTTTGTACTCCAGCGTACACCCTGAGCAGCTGCATAGCAGCTTCACAGACAAGGCGTGTTTACCTTGGGGACAAATTGAGGTCGCCGATTGATCATTTGCTGACACACGCCTACTGGATTGATTGACAGGTTGGAAAAAATAAAAAAAAACGAGCGCTGGCAGCCTCACGCAGCGGTGTTCTGTTTATATGTTGTTAATAAAAAGATCTAAAAAATAAAATAAAAAATAAGAGCGCTGGCTCTACAGCCCACACATCAGACCAGCCCACCATGAAATCTCCAGACCCTCCAGCAGCCATGTTGGACCTGAGTTTAATTCGCTCGTGACAAATTCCTTCATTTCTCACCATTTCAGTCATTGCATCAACAGGAGGAAGAGATCACTTGCCTCTTGGCAAAAAACAAAAACAAAAGAAAAGGCCAGATCAGAGATGAAGAAGGGGAATTTAATACATTGGTGTTACATACAAAACAGTCCATCGCTGGGCAGTTTATTGTGCGACACTGCGTACGCATATGCGGCCGTAAAAATTTGAGCTTTGCACGGACATGCCCTGGGGGGTACGCTCATACCTCCGCGTTTGTACGTGCGTACCTCTGCATATGGACGTACGCGGCAGTATACTGGGGGCTTAACAATAACAGCATTGTAAGAGGTTGAACACGGAAGCCTCCAGAGGACCTGACTTAAGTTTTTTTTATTTTTCTACCTGGATTATTGAGCATGCATCAGGATGTACTGTATATTGTTTTTCAAATGTAATTCTGTTTTTTTCCTAATGTGATTCTGTTTTTTTTCTAATGTGATTCTGTTTTTTCAAATGCCATTCTGCTTTTTCTAATGTAATTCTGTTTTTTTCTAATACGATTCTGTTTTTTCAAATGTAATTCTGTTTTTTCTAATGTGATTCCGGCCACTTCCGCTTTGACTTAATGTAATTCTGTTTTTTTTCTAATGTTGTTGTGTTTTTTCAAATGTAATTCCGTTTTTTCAAATGTTGTTCATTTGCACCTTAGGGCCACCGTAGACAACAGAAGCCAGCTGAGGGCACTAAACAAAATATTCACACATAAAATGAGAAATAAAAGTTATTTATCTAAGGAAGCAGCAGGTTGTGTTGAATCTTCACTTGAAACAGATATCATCTAAAACTAATCAAGACGGAGACACGTCTGTGATGCATGTTAGCTTAGCGGTATATTAGTTCCAACAGTTGTCAGCAGACTCCAAACACAGCATCCACAGGCCTAGGGCTGAGTACCGAACCGAAGTTCTTTTATGGCACCGACCGAACTGCACCGGTATGTATTGAAACGTCACTCTTCTTTCGGTGTCAAGTTTGGGTATTGGCTGTAAGGTGTCACATGGTTTAGGCATGCAGGCAGGTAAAACACCAGACATATGACAAACAGACTACACCCAGATTACACCCAGAGCTGTATAGAGCCGCCGTACCTAATCTATGTATAATTATGTCTATGGTGCTGGTGACGCCCACAGACGGGTTCACGTGTGCAGCGCGTGTTGTCGAAGCCGTTCGACAACACGCGCTGCAGAACGTTGCTCCGTGTTTTTCTGCGAGGAGAGAGGAGTTCAGCAGCCTCCCCCTCCTCCTCTCAGCCTTAAAGTCAGCCTGTGAGTAGAGCCTGAACGTCCTAATTTATTATCTCCACGACCGGACTCTTCATCAAAGGACTCCGAGGACGGCTCTGTGTGCTTCAGCTGGTGAGTTTACGTTTGTTAGCGTAACTGCAGCTTAACACGTACATCGCGGTGAAATAAATTATGATCCATGTAACGCTAACTTAAGATATTAGTGTGTAAATTTATTTTATCTACGTGGCTAGCTAAACTCAGAAACTAACTAAAGATTGACAGTAACATAAATCTTAGCTTGTAAAACTGCTCATCCTTCCAGTCAGCTGCTTAAACAGTTCACTAATGTTCACCGTTTATGCTAATGTTCTCCTCACAGGACGTTCTGACCCAGATGTGAGGACAGACAGAAAAGTGAGGTAGAGGCCACAGGACAGTCAGACTTTGTTGTTAAAAATTTGCTGCTTTTTCTACAGTGGAGCTGCATGTTGGAGGTAAATTAAACTTTAAAGGATTTTGTTGACCAGTTAAACCTTTATCTCTCAGCCTAGATAATGTTTTTTGATCAATAATAACACAACCATGTTATTGTTGATGTTTTGTTCTAATGTCCATTAGGAAGATGATCAGAGCCCTAAACCCCAGAGAATCACAGAGAAGATTAAGGCAGAGACACAGAGGTGCAGAAGTCTGCATCATCCCTACCTCATTGAATCCAGTGACCTGCTGGTGGGATGTGAGGGACAATATGTCAGTGCTATCAAACTGACAACCAGGTATCTGTGTGTGCAACAATCATCATCTACAGCCTCAGAGTGAACATTTCCTACTGCTGGAGACACCATCAGCCAGGAGTGGGCTTGTTTGTGTCCAGAGAAAACCAACATGTTGATTTTTCTGAAGAAAAACTGTTCAGTGAAAAGGTCCTCAGTGTGTAGCAGTGAGCATTAAACACTGATGTGTCACTGGTTTGTAACTGGTCTTTTGACCTGGAAATTATTTGTTTATTTTTATGTAAGAAAACTGCTTGGAATAGAAAAATACCAAAGTTAAAAAATAAAACTCACAATTTGTACTGTAATGTGCAACGTAATTTTATTCTTGTTAGAATTAATAGTAATTACAAAATTGATACCGAAAAAAGAACCGTCCAGGAACCGACACCGAAGTGAAGGTACCGATACCAAATTATTTTTAGAAAAGTACCCAGACCTATAGCAGCATCACAGACATAAGAAGTTATGAAGTCATAATCAGCAGCAGCTGTCAATCAATTTGTACAGCGAGGTAACATACATGTTCAAGAATCTAATAATTATTTCACATTTATCTTTATTCTTTATCTTGCAGCAGCTCCAGCTGAATTCAGGCAGCTCAAAAACTTCACTTAGTTTTCTTTAACTACAGACAAGATCAAAAAATCTGATCCACATCAAAACCATCATATTGTGAACATTTGAATAAGACGGATTAAGCCTTTAACTTTGACTGTTCATATTCCTCAGAGGGAAAATCAACCACTTTATTTAACTGCTTAAAAATGCTAGTTTAAAATATTCTTTCACAAAAAACTAGGCAGTCTTTTAGAGCCGTCAGTCTGAAATAAAAATATAAGTGTAAGTGCTATGTGTTGTCATCAATGTAGATTTCTACACAATGACAAAATTATTTCTCTGCATTAACCCATCACACGTGAGATAAACCCAGGTGGAACAGCGGGCAGCTATGTAAGTGTCCGGGGAGCAATTAGGGATTGGATGTCTTACTCAGAGACATCACGATGTGGGCATGGCGAGGAGTTGAACCCGTGACTTTCTGGTCCCAAGTCGGCAAATTAGCTGCTCCTGTAATGGGGGTGTTTTTTTCCCAGAGACTGCCCGTCTTTGTTGCAGCCTCTTGCTCTGAAGCGCTTCAGGTATGACAATGATTTTCAGAAAACAATGTGACGTAGATTATTTATCATACTTCTGGTTTTACTTGGCCTATCAACGCGATAAAAAAAATCTGTTGTGTAGTTTAAAGTGTGTACTTTTTATAAATTAAAATGGAGTCCCTGAGAGACTGTGTCTTTCCCACTACAGCGATTGAAATAGGTCATGTGACTATCACGTGCCAGTGCGTCAATTAACTCCAAAGGAAAAAAAAACATTAGTCAGAGTAGGCGGGGCCAGACACGAGTAGGCAGCAAAATCGCCACCCGCTGCCCGTTACTGAGAAGGCAGCTTCCCCTCTCCATCTAGCTTCACAGAGATTTTAAACTCTGTCATTTACATTCTGTAAATCTGATTCAAACTTGTTCAGTGGTTCATTAGGTTGTGTATAACAGACAGGCACATGCACACAGACACATTATTACCTGTCTTCACCCACCAACTCACCTGAGTCAGGGGCTCCACCGAGCCGATGTACGAGTCTGGACGCAGGAGGATGTGCTCCAACTGGGTCTTCTTCTGATACACTCGCTCCACAGATAACTTGGAGCCAGCCTTGTCTTTCTTGGTACCTTCCATCTTTCCAACGTCACCTCGGTCATTGGCAGCCTCCTGTTGAGAAGAACCATTGATACTGTTAAAAATCATTAATTATCTGTATTTGTCCAAACACACAACAGCAGTTGAGTTGGCAGGCTGCCAACGCTCACTACCATGGAGAAACAACTACTGATTTTCTTTGGTGTGGTGAAACTCAGACGACGGTGAACATTTCATACACAAAGCTAAAAGAAAATCCACAAACCTCTTAACAAGTGGCCTCAGCGTTCACAATTGTTCTATTTCGTATAGCCTTCGCCCTTTAAGAGCTGTCGCTAGTGGGTTTTATCCCGTCATGCAAAGCATCACAATGAAAAGTTTAGTCCACGCCCACCTGTTGTGTGGGCCCCACCCGATCTGTATAAATTACGTTAAGAGCGGGTAATCGGCTCCCATTTTTCTTCAGCAAGCTAATATCACTGTCAGAAGAACTAAGAAGGGAAGTTGTCCAGCTTGACCAGAGCAACCGTTGTTAAGGCTGCGTGGGGTCCCGCCACGCCAACCTCCTGCCGTCCCGGTGAGTTTCTCCTCCCCGAGGAGAAGCAGACGAGCAGCCTTGTTCAAGGTAAGCGCCGAGGAATATTTCTCAGTGGCGGGTCGCTACACACTGGATGACGCCATCGACCCCCTTTTTCCTTTTATCGCCGACTCTCGGAGTGAATCGGATGGTTCCTCCAGAACAGGCGACGTCAGCAGCAGCCCCCGCTGCTCACTCCCTCCTGGAGAGTGTAGTGTCTGAACGAGGGGGGCTGAGCAGATGCACACCCCCCACCCGGCCTTTGTCGCATCGGCAATCACACCACTCCCAGCCGTTGTTGCCCTCCTCTTGGAGCTGCCCGGCATAATCCAGGAGGCGGCTGACATAAAGGGACTTTTTTCCATCCCTCTCCTTCCCCCGCCCAGATCGGATGACCTAGCGGGAAGGTTTTTTGGCTCCACCCCGGCTTGCTGTCCTGATCCCATCTGGCCTTGTTTCCCAGCAGTGACGTCCTACTGGAACGAGGCTGCAGCCAGACCTGGTAGACTGAGAGTGCCGGTTTCCACATCCGCGCCCATCACCAGAGTAGAGGGGTTTTACCGAGCGGAAATTCCCTCGGTGCCCCACCTGGAGCCAAGCCTGGCGGAGGCTCTCGGAGCAAAGTTGTCTAAGTTGGACCAGCGTCCTGCACCTCCGGGGAGATATGACCAGACGGTAACGTCGCTCTCCAACCGAGCTCACCAGTATGCGTTCCAGACGGCCGCAGCGAACAATACGCTGCGCCACTGACATACAGCATCTCAGTGGTCGGAGGGACAGACCTGCCTGAGGAGACAAGAGCTCCCTCTGCAGGCATCTGACATCATCCTCAACCCTTGTGCCTCGTCTGCTGTCTGACATGCTTGAGAAATCGAAAAAGCTGGAGGAGTTGTCGGAGACTGTGCGCCATATGATCAGCCGCACGCCTCATCCCGCCTTCCGGCCCCTTGAAGGATCGTCATGGCCAAAGGCAACAACAGAGACGCTCCACAGCTGCAGCAGCGTCCTACCGCTCCGCCACCAGCCCCGCCCGTCAGAGAACAGCCCTTCTCATCCCGGCAACCAGCGGTTCAGCGTTTCCCCAGAGATCGCCAACAGGCAGCGCCCTGGGACAACAAACCGCAGGGCTCACGGGGGAAAAGATTCAGGAATGACTCCTTGCGGGGGATGTGTGTGTGCAAATGATGACAGGAGTTTTGAACTAAAACTCGAACATCATTCAAAGATTAAAGTGTCTGACTCAGCCTGTCTGTCAGTTCGAATGATCTCACAGCGGCTTCTCCTCACACATCAAATACACAAACGAGCCGGTGTCCATAAAACAGGTTTTTTCAAAATCACCGCAGCTCAAGGAACACACAGAACGCTCACGTGACACAGCAGCCAAAAGTGAATGTTTTCAGCAGTCCGAGTCCAGTGGGAAACCTCGCTCTCAGCTTGAAGTGTGCGCTGCTTCCTCTCACTGCAGCGGTGTCAAACACGTGCTCCCGCGGCGCCGGCAGTTTTCACCCAAACGGCGCCACGTTAATGAGGTTGCGCACACCTCTCCTCAGCACACGCTGGCTCACATCAGCATAAATATGAGCCAGCAGCCTGAGCGCGGCATAGAAGCACCGCGCACCCGCGGCAGCCCTAAACCTACACGGTTCCGCATGCTCGGGGCACGTGCACCTTCACTTAGCGCACGCCGGCTCACATCAGCATGAATGTGAGCTCGCAGCCTGAGCGCGGCACAGAAGCACTGTGCACCCACGGCAGCCCTATATCTACACGGTTCCGCATGCTCAGCGCACGCCGGCTCACATGAGCATGAATGTGAGCCCGCAGCCTGAGCGCGGCACAGAAGCACCGCGCACCCGTGGCAGCCCTAAAATCTACACGGTTCCGCATGCTCAGGGCGCGTGCACCTTCACTCAGCGCACACCAGCTCACATCGACAACGGATGCGAGCCCACAGCCTCAGTGTGGCACACATGACGGCGGTGATTGGCGTTCGTAAATAACGTGACGCAGCATAAACGCGTGCCCGCTTCCCGAATGTTATGCGGAGTAGCAGCGAGCGTGCGCTTTAGACAGATGGATGAACTGTTTCTATCAGCGGGGGATACATGCTGCAATTACAGCTCAAGCCCCCGTTTGGAGAGTTTTAGAGAGAGTTTTGTCATCCTGAGTCCAGATCTCATCCCTGCACACAGAAGTTCAGGAAATTTCTGGTAAAATATGTAATTTCCAGGGTTCCCGACGGAGAGGAAAACACAGGGTTTTACTCACGTTACTTCCTGGTCCCAAAACAGACCGGAGGGATATGAACCATGTTGGACTTGTCAATTTTTCAACACAGTTTCACATGTTGACAACCAGACAGCAGTTAGACAACACTCAGTAAAACAATTGATTATCTCCATCGATCTGGAAGACGCCTACTTCCACATCCCGATCAACCGTTACACAGAGCAGGGATGAGAATTTTATTTTACCTAGACGATTTGTTGCTGCCGACTGTTCCAGACAGGAAGCAGCAGCGTGGACCCAGATGCTGATGTCACACCTGTTAAATCTGCGCTTCGCCATAAATTGGGAGAAAAGCTCGATTCTCTCGGCCCAGACGATTGTTTATCTGGGAGTGGAGCTAACTCGATCACCATGAGTGCTCGCTTATCACAGATAAGAATTGAAACTCTAAAAGACCAGCTCTGCCACGTAAGGCCTGGCAGAGTAGTAACAGCCATTTCCATCATGAAGCTGTTAGGAATGATGTTGTCAGCTCACACAGTGGTTCCGCTGGGCTTACTCCACATGCGACGCCTCGAGAGATGGTTTGCTCGTCTGCGTGTGGATCCGGTAAAGCAGAAGAGACGGATGATCACTGTACCTCCCTCCGTGAGAACAGACCTCAGACACGAGGGAAACCCCTTGGTTAAGTCGGAGGGAGTCCCTGTCAGCAGACATATGACACACGTGTCAGTCTTCCCAGACATGTCGCTGTCAGGTTGGGGGGAACATGCCTATCCCGAGCTGTAGGGGCGCTGTGGCCACCTCACACAACAACTCGTATAAACGTTCTGGAAGGTCGTACGGTTTTGAATGTGATTAAACATTTTGCCTCTGTGCTCCGGAATCAACATGTGTTGATTCACACAGACAACAAGGTGACTGCTGCATTCATAAACCGGCAGGGGGGTGTGCGCTCAGCCCAAATGTTACACATTGCGAGACGGTTTCTGTATTGGGCACACCAAAATCTGCTCTCCATCAAAGTAGTGTACATCCCCGATGTTCTGAACAAAGGGGCAGATGTGATGTCCAGGGTCAGTCTGCGTCATGGGGACTGGACCCCCCATCCAGACCTGATGGCTCAGACGTGGCAGAAATTTAGCAAAGTGGCCGTGGACCTGTTTGCAATATGAGAGAACGCTCAGTGTCAACTATGGTTCTCAATGAGCCCACGACATGAACCACCGCTAGGGGTGGACGTGTTTGCTCACAGCCTGTGGCCCAAAATGCTTCTTTACGGATTTCCTCCACTCCCTCCGATATCACGGTTTTCTGAACAGAGTTCAGGAGGGATTGACAGCTCTCCTGGTGGCTCCAGAGCACGTGAACGCACCATGGTTCCCAATTCTACAACGCCTGTTATCGGGGCTCCCGTGGAAACTGCCGTGGAGGGAGGACGCTCTCCTCCAAGCGGGAGGAGCGATCAGGAGTTACCCAGAAATAGGCCAGCACCTTTGGGTCTGGCTGCTGAGCGGACCTGCTTAGAGAGGATGGGTCTCTCTCAAGATGTGTGCGTACGATCCAGGATTCACATGCTGCATCTACCACAGCGCTGTACACATCAAAGTGGACAGATTTTCGGCGCTGGTGTACAGAGAATGGTGTAGAGGCCACCTCATGTCCGCTAGGTGGCATGCTGTCCTTTCTGCAACAGCTGATGGACAGAAATCTGGTATTCAGCATGATTAAAACGTACGCTGCAGCCATCTCTTTCTGTCACGAGGCTTCAGGGACAGAACAGCTTTTAATCATCCGCTGATGAAGCGTTTTTTAAAAGGTGTACAGAGACGCAGGCCTGTTTCATGCCCACTTGCTCCACAGTGGGATTTAACGCTGGTTCTGAGGGCCCTGAACAAAGCTCCATTTGAGCCACTGAATCAGGTTCCAATTAAATTCTTGTCTCTTTAAACAGCCCTGCTGTTGGCTTTAACATCCGTTAAGAGGGTTAGTGATTTATCTGCCCTCACTGTCGCTCCGTCATGCCTCAGAATTCAGGCTGACGGCAGCTCAGCTGATCTGAGACCTAACCCAGCGTTTATGCCTAAAACATCACAAGCTCTTTTAAATCAAGAGTGGTATCGTTGGAGGTTTTTTTCCCTCCCCCCACAAATCAGAAGAAGAAGCATCTTTCCATCTTCTCTGTCCTGTGCGGGCGTTGACGCGTTACATAGCACGCATGGCCGCAATGCGTCACTCAACATTTGTTTGTGCATTATAGAGATGCATCTGCAGGTCGCCCGTTATCCACCCAGTGCCTGTCACACTGGCTGTGTGAGGCCATTTCTGAAGCCTACAGAGCATCAGATTTAGAGCCTCCTGATAACCTCAGGGCGCACTCGACCAGGGGTATCGTCGCATCTTCGACTGCTTTGCATAATGGTATGACAATGCAGGATATTTGCACTGTGGCCGCGTGGTCAACACCCTACTCATTTATTCGCTTTTATATACGTGATGTGTTGACTCGTTCCATGACGCATTCTGTCCTTAGTGCCTTAACAGAATGAATATTGTTGTTTCATGGAATCTCGTTTAAACTCACATCTGACTACATGCATTTTCAGTATGAGATGTCGTTATCAGTCAAGTTCTGACTGTTGTTCTTGTTCTATTGTTACCAATCAGTTCATTTGATTAATAATCAGTTCACTTGTTATTATTAATCTGTTCATATTGATCAACTGTGGATCTGCTTGGTTCACGGCCTTTTTCAGCCTCTTCCTTTTCCCCTTTGAAAACTTTTCCGGGGCGTTCATGCACTCAGAACGCATAACTACGCAGCATGCGTCTGTGCATGGTACGCATAATTACGCAACGCGCAATTAAGCACATGGAGAGCTGAGTGACAACAAGACATTTTTGGGGCAAGCTGGCGCTTCATATGGTGTTCGAATGGACCCAGTGAGGCGAGGATTACATCTGCTTTGCCCTTAACCCACTAGCGACAGCTCTTAAAGGGCAAAGCTTATACGAAATAGAACGTTGGTTACGTACTGTAACCCCAGATTCTATGAGTATAGGCGTAGCCCTTTATGCGTCGGGCCTCACTGGCTCCTAAATGGCTGAAGAAAAAGCTATTTGGGAGCCGATTACCCGCTCTTCACGTAATTTATACGGACCGGGTGGGGCCCACACAACAGGTGGGCGTGGACTTAACTTTTCAGTGCAATGCGTTGCATGACGGGATGAAACCCACTAGCGACAGCTCTTAAAGGGCTACGCCTATACTCATAGAATCTGGGGTTACAGTACGTAACCAACAATTTCAGTACATCAAGACATTCATTAGGAATTCATCCTCAGGCAAAATTCATGGAATCATCAGGGATGTTTGTTCAGTTGTTTAGTCAAAAAAATAAATAAAAATTTAAAAATACAGACATGCCACAAAACGTTTGTTCATCTAAATTCCAACCTTCTGGCATCAGCAATTTTCTAGTTATGAGTATGAAGCTTCACCTAACACTTTCGGGTCACAGGTCACGTGGGATAAACACTGAGGTTGTTCTGGAAACACCGCTAGACTTCACCAGGTAAACATACACGGATATACGACCGGTTTATTTGTTCAAAACTGATTTGTGTTCAACTTTCCTTTAAGATCAGAGGTGAGATTTTTCATATAAATCGTTGAGATGTGAATCTGCTTGTTGAGCATATTTTGGTTGCCACAGTTGAGTGTTCATTGTTATAAATAGTACATGAGAAAAAGTCCCAACCAGCTGCAGAATCTAGTAATACAACAGGTAGTGAATAATCTAATATTTTGAATATCTTGGGACTTGCTCAGTTCATCAATGTGGACAAGTGCAGATAAAGAATACATTTCCAAAATAACTGAAACACTAAAACACAATAAAATTATATTTTATTGGTAAATGCATAAAACTATCTTCGGTATATCAAAATCATGTGAAAAAATAAATCATCACAGATTACAAAGGACATTTCTTCAAAAAGCTTTGATATTAATTTGATAATATAATCAGGCAAGCTGAATAAACTATTTCTTGACAGATATTGAATTATCAGGGAGACTCTTGAGAGTTTGCTGGCCCAGTTTAACCCAGTCAGAATCGGGTCATAATTTCATTATAATCCCGTCTCTGAGCAGATCAAAACATAGGACCAGTCTAAATAGGAAATATCTTAACAGTTTATAATGTATAACCCCTAACCCCTACCAATGATGCCGTGCATGCAGCAAACTAAAAAAAAAACTTAATAAAATGAAGGTGATATAACTGTCGTATTCGGATATAATCACTTTTTACATCAAGCAGAATCATGAGAAAACTCTGCCTGATTAGTACTTTGCTGGACCTTCTCTGGCTTGATAACAACATAAAATATCCGAGTTATGAGTCTAATTAAAGACAAACCATTTGCCTCCAAATGCCTCTTATTGCTGTTCTCAGATCAGCTCTGACAGAACACTGCACTGTTTGCAGACCAATATGTCTTATTTGAAGGACACTTTTCACGTTCTTTGCTCTACACAATAAAAAAAATGTATCACCAAACATCTTTACAACTGATTGAGTAAGAAAAGTGTCCAGAGTTATAATTTAATTCAGTTTATTTAAATAGCTCCAAGTCACAACTGAAGTTGTCCAGGGCACTAAACAGAAACATTCATATATACATATAAAAAAGTCATTAAATAAAAATTCAATCTAAGGAAGCGGAATACAACCTTCTGATATGTGTAAACCCCACTACAGTCCACTTGGGTGAGGACCCTGACTTTTAACCTCTTTAGAGGTCAGGTTCAGGTGTCAACAGGGGGCAGCGCCTCCTGGGGCCACATTATCCGCGGGTCGCAGAATATGATGCAACACCGGTGATGAGTTTAAATGGACGCAGCAGCCGGTTCGGTTCTGCTGAGGCAGAACAACAAGACCGCCCGGGGGAGCTCGGGTTGAACCAGTATAGGGAATCACACTGTTGGTTTTATATCGTAGGTTATTTTGGTACCAAACTGACTTACCATCCAGGAGAGCCCTCCGTTTCCTGCAGCGCCGTTAGACATATTCCTTTGTGGTCTTTAATTTGTCTCCAAATGTCTTCACGTCCAGCTAGATTAAACGTCCACCAACATCACAAACGCTTTACTCGCTGAAAAGTACGAAAACCTGTTTATCGTCCATAGTCCTTCCTGCTTTGCCTTGGAAATAAACCTTGGGGTTGATCAAACCAAGAAAAACGACGCTATTGTTAAAATCGACAAACGGTCGCGTCGCGGGCCTAAACTTAACAAAGATGCTAACCGGGTCGCCTGTTAAAAATAAATACTATACAAAACGAACGCGCTCGACACTTTAACAATCTCACAAGGAAACAGTGTTGAATAAAATACTTGCTCAAGTGACACGCTCTGAGAGGGAACTATTTAAATATTTATTATTCAGGAACAAAAACGAATATTGCTAGCAGCGTCCTAAATCCGGCTCCGCCATCTACAAGATAGACAGCGATTCGTCTCGTGAACCAAGCACCCAATCAGATGTTTCCTTTCTAAACGCGCGAGAAGGGGTTCTCTGCAGACCAAAAGTGGGCGTTTCTGGCGAATAGGCGTTTGTGGGCGGCGAACACTGATTGGTTATGGGTAACCCTCAAAGTCACGAGGATTATTGATGAGGTAATGTTTCTTTGCGATGTTTGACAAAGAAATATGATTTATTGTATTTATAAAGCATGTTATGTTTTCACTTATGCATATTATTGAAGTACGTTTATTGTAGGTCACGATAGTTTCGACCGTTCTCTCGTTGTTGTCGTGCTTTACAAGTTTAGCTCATGTGAAAACATGGTGAGGAATTCCCATGCAAGTAACGCACTGAGGTAAAGTAAGCCTCCACTCGGCTCCGGCAGCTCTCACTGTGCACGTTTACAACAACTGGGTGTTGCTTTTCAAAATAAAAGCTGAAAATAAAAGTTCTTAATACTTAAAAAATAAATATTTTAAAGCTGTGTATAACTGAAAAACAAATAAATAAAAGTTGTTATTAGCTGAAAAATAAACAAATAAAAGCCGTTAATTATATATATGTCTTTCTGCCATGTCAAGAACCACTCTCACTTCAGGTTGACTCTAGAAGACCCCAAGATGTTGCTCAAAAACTTTGACCAACATCTGATGTTGACTTTCAAAATAAATCACCTCCAAAGTTTAACATAGTTCATAGTAATAGTCAAAAGTTGCTGACCTTGTTGCAACATGAGTTAACACGAACATGAGTGTAATTTGTCAATGATTCAATAATGAGTAATAACTTATTCAATAATAAGTCTGTAATTTGTCAATAATAGTCAATAATTCATTCAAGAATAGATTATGGGTGTTTGGTATGGCTCAGTGGCTAAAATGGGTTGGATGTTAGAGAAATTACTTAATTTTCAATTACCTGAATGTACAAATTCCTTCATTTATAGTTAAACTTTAGGAAATCAACTTTTTTTTCTTTGTGAAAAAAATATCAAAATTAACTTTAAAATCCAATCCAGGATTAAGTAACAACTAGCAACACCCTAACTGTACTATGTTTTGTGTTTCCAACAGATGCTACGATGACTTCTAAAAATAGATGTCCCAATAAACACAATAAAAAAAATTCAATGATGCATCAAATGTTGTCTGAGTATGTTTTAAGGTAATAACAAATGTGAAATCTGGAAAACAAAGAGAATTCCTGAATCTGTCTTGTGTGCTTTGATGTGTACATAAGTTTATTGGAGGTCCTGAAACAACTTTTCTGAGAACACAAAGATTTTTATTTTACCTTTGGCCAAGATGTCAGTTTGAAATCAGGCTGCTTACTGCAAAACCAAGAGGTTTTTTTTAGACAGACAGTCTTCATTTGTATTGTTTTGTCAATTAAGCTAAATGTAATTTCTAAAATATGAATAAATCTGATCTCATCATGCAGCATAGGCAACTGGGTATAGGTGTGAGGGCCAAAAGTCTGGTTATGTACTGACTCCTTAATGTGCTTGTTTTCTACTGAAACATGGAGTAGGGTTGACCTTTAAAATGTGAGACAGCTGAGGAAGTTAACAAGTAAACAGAAATACCTGCTCCAGTTGCAGAAATCTTACAGAAACTGACAAATCACTCATCTGCAGTGACTGCAAGTTGAACAAGAAAATGTGAAGTTAAAGGAAACATACTTTGTCCCAAGGCCAGTTTAAGTATCGTTAATATTTTTCTTTCTTTATGAATCGATTGTAACTTTTTTTCACATTTTTCAACAACCAAAATGGAATTTGTTTTTTAATGTTACGGCTAGGTATTAAAAAAAAACTAACATTTAGCTCTCCCCACTACCCAGTTATGTTGCTCTTATTTTGAGTTCTGTGTTAAGAGAGTCGAAAAAAGAAGTTATGGAGACGCCGCGGCAGTATACTGGAGCAATGTCGAACCGTGACGCCGCCAGTGTTGAACCTGAGACGCCGCTAATGTCGAACCGGTTAACACCATAGACATAATATGCCTGTGGGTAACACAATCTGCCAATAACGCCTTGTTTTTAGACATCATGTGGTTACGGCATTTTATTGTTCAGCCTTTTTTTCTATCGTCTAATCAGATGTGGCCGTCCAGACACGCCTATTTTTCTATCGTCCAATCAAATATGGCCGGCCAGACACGCCCATTTTTCTATCGTCCAATCAGATGCGGCCGGCCAGACACGCCTATTTTCATATAGTCCAATCAGATATGACCGCCCAGATACGCCCACTTTCCTATAGTCCAATCAGATATGATCGCCCAGATACGCCTTCCGAATTTGCCTGCAGAGATACCTACTTGAAACGCGCCGGTATCTTGACCAATAGGAACGCTCGGTCTTTGGAGACCACTGCTCCTCCTCTCAACACCAGAGGTTAAAAATGTATTCGACTTTTGGGGTTCTTCAGAATTAAATAATCAGTTTAAAAGAGATTTAAATTGACTCGAGACGTAACAGCAAATTATTAGGCCCGAGCAGCGAAGCGCTGCGAAGGCCTATTGTTATTGTGCTGTTTCTTGTTATATATATTTTTTTTATTATTATTCTCCTCCCTAAAGAAGGGTTAATTTGGAGGCCTTAACATATCCCAAAACTCACCAAACTTTACCCAAACTTGTCCCCCGTGTAAAATTTTAGTATTTTAATGGAACCAAAAGTGGGCGTGGCCAAACTGCTCAGCAGCCCCCCTAACGTGAGATAGGAGAACTGGTAAGTCATGGAGAGCTGAAATTTGGTACATAGGTAGAACCATAGATATAAACACTAGATACAGCATTGGCTGCTGCGGCGCAGGATTTTCGGCTGCCATCTTGGAACGGTCGTCCTTATTTGGTTAAAGCAGAAGATGTCTCAGCACTTCGCAGCTTATTTCTGTTCTAATCGACAGACTGTTGACGTCAGGTCTCGGGGGATAACTTTTCACAAGTAAGATGAACATATTATTGTTGTTATTGAAGATTGTTAGTATTTTGTGAATAAAATATTACTGTACTGTATTTATGTCCACCAACTGATGTGATGTTCAGTGTAACACGGTGTTCAGCTGCATTGAAGCTAACTGAGATCTGATGACAGGAATATTTTTCTAGCAAGCATACTCACTATTTCAGTATCTTTGGTTCATTATCAACAGATAGGCATCAAAACTGGAGTTTTGTTTAAGTTCTAGGATATAAAAAAATAAAACTAGGGAGAATATAGGAAATAGAAAATAAGACTGACCTCCTTTGTACAATGTTTTTGTGTAGACACAAATCTCCTGTTTTCATTTTGAAGGTTTCCCAAAGAACAAGATGTGAGGAAGAGGCGGAAGTATCTTTGAGGAGGATTCATCTGAGCGGTGAGGATTTTAAACTGGAGGATTTTGTTCAAACTGATCAAACTGTCCGACTGATAGATGGTGTGTTACCATCGGTTCACCTTCAAAGAGTAGAAGCATCATTATAAGTTCATTAGAGTTCATAAATTTACATATTTTATTGTCAGTCACAAGGTGAGATACCTCCATGAACAGGTAACTATAGACTGTAAAGTTCATATTTATTATGTTTTTTCATTTCAGCTTGAAAACTGCAGGACTACAGGAACTCAACAAAAGCTAGAGCTGCTCTGTCTGTGGCCTCTCAGGAACGTGCACGTCACACACACAACCATGGCCTCATGATGTGAGTATTTCTATTTTAAACTTTTATTTTTTTCATTTACCTTTATTTATCCAGGTAGTCTCATTGAGTCACGAGAACTCATTTTCAAGAGAGACCTGTTTAGGAGCAGATGGTGGTGGTTAAGGGCCTTGCTCAGGGGCCCAGAGTGGGGCCAATGAGGGTGGAGGCAGGTGTGGGTGTTTCACCTTTTCCACCTCATTTTGATGTTGACGGTACTGGGAGTTGAACCTGCGACTTTCCGATCACAGGCCCATCTTCTAACCTCTGCTTCACCACTCCCCCACATAACATCACATCATGATGGTCATGGTCGTATTAAAATCTCACTGGTTTCCTTCCAGATGTGTTAAACAGCTACTGGTCCTCCTGATGTTTACAGGTGGCTGTGGTCAGTGGATGAAAAGCCTGGCCTGAACAAGATGATGCTGGAGATCATCATTTGACGAGAGCTACCACCTTCTAACTGTGAAGAACAACAGCAGCTCAGTGATTCTCTCAAGGCTCAGTGAAGGTGCTGAGAGCTGCAGAGAGGCTGATTCATGGAGCTTCAACACAGCATCCTCCAAAAACATGTCCACCCTCACACACATCGTCCATGAAGAGATTGGACCAGAGCAGCGTCACAAGATAATTAGATAGTGATAACAACGACAACAATAGACATTCACAAATGATTCATACAAATTTAAGTTTTTTTATTGTTTGTTTGTTTTACAATTGAAAAACAGTTTGTTATCCACTGTTGTCATCACTCTTTGTTAAAATCCAGGTCCCTCTTGTAAATGAGTCCTATTGGCTCAGTGGAACTAACCTGTATCAATAAAGGTTGAATGAATATATAGATATACATAATGATTTATTCAACCTTTTATTTATACAGGTTGGCTTCATTGAGCCACAAGGACTCATTTACAAGAGACCTGCTCCAGACAGAACAGTAAACAATGGCAATGATAAACTACAGTAAAAATAATAGAGATGATATGT